TCTTCCAACAGAAGGCTGTTTCATCTACTTTGAAACTATTGCTTGGTGCAGCCACGTTCAGTAATGATCTCAGCTGATCTGCTGGGTGACTCGCTGCAGCTTCTCCATCAGCACCTGCTGCTTCCCCTGCACTTTTCTGTTACGGAGACGCCTTCTTCCCTTAAACCTCATGAACCATCCTCTGCTGGCTTCCAACTTTTCTCTGCAGCCTCCTCCCTTCTCTCAGCCTTCATAGAATTGAATACAATTGGGGCCTTGCTCTAAATTATGCTTTGGCTTAAGGGAACGTTGTGGCTGGTTTGATTTTTCTCTCCAGACCACACAAACTTTCTCCACATCAGCAATTTGGCCGTCCTGCTTTGTATCGTTCGTGTGATCACTGGAGCAGCACTTCTCATTTTCTTCATGAAGTTCTCCTTTGCCTTCACAACTTGGGCAACTATTTGTTGCAAGAGGCCTAGCCTTCGCCCTGTTTTGGCCTTCAACATGCCTTCCTCACTAAGCTTAATCATTTCTAGCTTTTAATTTAAAATGAGAGATGTGTGACTCTTCCTTGAACACTTGGGTAGGGTTGTTAATTGGCCTAATTTCATTATTGTTTTGTCTCAGGAAATAGGGAGGCCCAAGGATGGGGAGAGAGATGGGGAACATCGGGTCTGTGGAGTGGTCAGCACACACGCAATGTTCATGGATTATGTTCACCATCTTACGTAGGCAAGGTCTGTGGTGCCCGCCCCCGGAAGACAAAATCACAATAGTCACATCAAAGACCACTGATCACAGATCTCCACTACAAATATAACAATAATGGAGAAGTTTGAAATATTGGTAGAATTACTAAAATGCAACACAGAGACACAAAGTGAGCAAATGTTGGAAAACTGACCCCAGCAGACCTTTTCTAAGCAGGGTTGCCACAAACCTTCAATATGTGAAAAACACTCTACAGCAAAATGCAACAAAATAAAGTGCCATAAAACGAGGTGTGCTTGTAATAACAACCTACTAAACAGAAGGTCCTAAGACATGAAGGTCTTTCTTATCATCTATTCTTAATAGTTTTCCAAAGTACCATGGGTATCAAAGACCAGAGTGAATGTGTCATGTGCTGTAGGCTGTGCATTGTGGGGGTAAAAGTTGCAACACCTGGTCAGACAGTTGCCTTTCCAGACCTCCTTGACCTCTGCAGTGGACGAGGCCAGGGGGAGGTTTGGCTACAGGGGATGTACATCCCCAGGTGGTGCCGCCAGGAAAGGTGCCGCCCTGGATATGTCCCAGCATTGGAACAGCAGCGTCAGCATTCCCAGATCCTCTCATCTGTGTGTCTCCTTTGTACACAGATCCAGAGATGCCCAGAGTTAAATCAGGTCTTTCAAAACTCATCCAGTACATGTCACAAAAGTTTGGCTCAGAGAAAGTCCAGTTTAAGGCAGCTCTTTGTATAGCAGCTTTAATGGGGTTCCTGTGCAGAGACACACTGTGTGAATTACCCTAGCCTCGTTTTCCTGTAGCTTCTAAGCATATCCCTTGCAATCATTCATGTTAGCTTTTACAGCTTTTTAAAATGCATTTTGTTTGACATGGCAGCAAGGGTAGAAGGAATCCAATGCAATTCCGATCCAGAGTCTGCTGTCTTGAAGGGTCTGCCTCTCCTTTGGATCTTCAAAGCTGAGACAGTAATACCACTTTAAAGCTGTCTTCACGATATATTGCGGATACATAAGATTAGAAATACTAAGAGGCTCTGGTCTCCCCAGAAAGGGGAGAGAATCATGTCCACTTAAAGCATTTTAGTTTCTACCATAAACTTTTTGTTCCCAACCTGTTATTACTTTGAAGAGAACATGTCCCTAAAGAGATGCTGAGCGTCTTGACATTTAATTTCCAAATGTACAGCTTGAGAATAAGCCTAATGAAACTTTTAATGACTTTTGATACATAAAGCACAGCAGAGTCACCTGACCTTGGCCATCGGTTAGGGCTTGAACTCAACTACATAGTGAGCACAGTTCATGTTAAAGCCATTTGTGGCACATGTGAAACACTGACACGGGAATCTAGACACCGTGTCATGATCCCCTCGCCCTCCCCTGCCCCCCGTAAATGAAGGCAGCAGTCTCATCATATTCTCCCGTTCCTGCGCGAACATTTTAAGCACCAACTATATCATAATAGAGCTGGTCTGCTCAGCCACAAAGAAAAAATATATAACAACTGTAGATAATTACCCACTGGAATGCAGTGGGTAATTACAGGACTCCTGTACTTTAACCAGAATATAACTTCTAATTATCTCAAAAGCCTAAGTTTATACAATCAGAAACGGTTACCAATCAAAGAGATTACACAAAATGTTAAAACCTTAGATGTTGAACTGTAAAAGAATTTTAAGATTGGTTAAAAATAGCACAAGGAATAAGAATATTTATCTGATGCTGTATCAGGTCTTCAGTCTGCAGGCTCGGTATCTTGGTAACACTCACTCTGACTGCATGCAGGCATCTCCAATACTTTTTACAATAGTCTATTTTAGAAAGAATGCGTCTGAGAGCTTAACTGGCCTTGTTTCTTTCTTTCATGTCCCAAATTGCTATTAACAGTCTCTTTCTTCTCTGATTCACACTCTTTCTTTTTTGCAAATTCCCACATGGTAATAGACTTGTTCTTTAAAAGAATATAAACCAGAAATAAGGTAACTACTCGGCATCGTTTGTAAAAGGATGAACCCCATCAGGGTAACAAAAAAGAGGATTCTCTTAGCTAATTCTGGGTTCATACCGTGGAGCAATGAAGATGAAGGAAAATTTTGACAGTCACCATCACCTATATTAATTGCTTATTGGTAGTATTGGGCAAAGGATTTGGAGTTAAATTTATATCCTCCCGACTGCTTGTAACGGATACAGCAGTAGCTATTTTTGTCCACCAGTGGACATCACTCACTGCTTAACATACAATATGTTGAATCCTTAATTTTTGGATTTTGTATTCAGGTCTCCATTTTATCTTCAAAGAAGGCTCACAGGGCCAGAGAAGGACTGAGGTAGGACTGGGAGCCAGTGTCCCACTGCGGCCTGTCCTCTGGCGACCTGCCTTCCCACGCGAGCGCTTCCCTCCCCCTGTGCGTGAAGGGGCACAGGCGCCCTGGTGCTCAAACTAGTGTATGTGATTCCACAGACTCCCCGACCTTTTGCTTCTCATTATTCTTCCTCATCCTTTGCTTCAAGAACACAAATCGCAAATGAAGTCTCAATAATGCCCTGGAATCCCACCGCACTTCTGCCACCGATTCACTCGCCACTCCCTGACGCGGCTGTGGCACACCTTCTCCTCTCTTTTAAGTGTGACTTTTTTTTTAAGGAAGAATGACTGGAATCCAGAAAGATCTAGGAGTCAAATTACAGGGCATAATGGTTTGCGTTACCAGACCCAGCAAAGTCTACCGCCTGTTCACAGCGCATGAGGGTGTTAGTGAACAAATAACTTAGTTTATGGTATTTTCAGTGTGGTGGAGACAACTTAAAACAGAGGAGGAATGAACATCGCTTACAGATCTCAGACATAATTCTAATTTTTAAAATTTCTAATTTTTTCCCTCAGAGCTCACATCTAATCTGTCAACCAGTCCTGCCACTGCTGTCTTCAAAATGTACGCATCCTCTGACCATGATTCCTTTGCTGCCGTGCCGCCGTCCAGGCCACTACTGTCTCCTGCTCAGGCTGTCACAACAGCTTCTTAAATGGACGAGACACCTCCCCTTCCATGTGGGCTCAGAGGTGGATTCACCTGGGAGCTAAAGAATCTTGTTTCACGGTCCCTTCGGTATAACCCATTCATACATCCGTGCTGCCTGAAATTCTAGTTGTAATTTTTAATAATTTTTTTAAGAGACAGCTGCCCAAATTGTATAAAGCTTCATAAAACCTGGACTCCTCTCTGCCTCCACACTGCTTCTCTGCCTTCCTAGAAGCCACAAGAGGACCCTTTTGCAACCCCTGATTAGACACCTCCCGTGGTCTCCCACGTCACTCAGAGTAGAAGTCAACCACCTTACAGTTGGTCCATGAGGCCATTTGTGACCCCACCTCTATACCCCCTGACGTCTTCCTCTGCAAATGTCCCTGGGTTACTCTGCTGTAGTGACGCCGGCCTCCGTGCTGTTCCTGCAAAATGCCAGGCATACTCATCTTCAGGCTCTTGGTCCTGGTCTTCCTTAGGTATCAGCCTCTCACCTCTGTTATCAGTCACCACCTTCCCTGACCACCTTTATTTCAACTCCAAACATTATGGTCCCACATTTCCTACCCCACTGCACTGGGCAGAATGCTTGTGTGTCCCCCAAATTCAGATGTTAAAACCTGAACCCCACAGTGATGGTATTAGGAGGTGAAGGGGACCGTTGGGAAGTGATCAGTCACAGGGGTAGAGCCCTCTTGAATGGGACCAGTGCCCTTATATGAAGAGGCCAGAGAGCTAGCTACATCTCTTTCTGCCGTGTGAAGATACAGCTGGAAGTCTGTGGCCTGGAAGACAGCCCTCACCCTACCAACCCTGCTGGCATATTGATCTTGAACTTCCAGCCTCCACATTGTGGGAAATTAATTTCTGTTGCTTATATGCTGCCCAATCTGTGGGATTTGTTATAGCAGCCCAAACACACTAACACACCTACTTTCCAAGTTAGGTTTTCTCTTAACAGTTACTGTTACCCACCATACAACACATTTTCCTTATTTATCTTATTTAAAATTAAAAATTATTAAAAATTACAACTAGAATTTCAGGCAGCTTAGATGTATGAATGCATCACACAAAAGGGACCATGAAACAAGATTCTTTAGCTTCTCGGTGTATCTCCCACCAAGATGTCAGCTCCGTGAAGGTGAGAATTTTTCTAACTGTATCCCGAATGCCTCCGGACAGAGTCACTGCTCCTTAAATACGTGTTTGCTGGAATAAGGAAAGAAAAGATTACCTCTCGTCAGAGTCCCAGTGAAGGCTTCACAGAGAAGTTGAGATGGAGGCTGCATACTGATCAGCTCACAGAATGCGGGCAGAGATGAGGAAAAATGGAAAGAAAAGCCTGAGCAAAGGTGCAGAGACAACAAATTGGGCTGCATGTGCAGAAAAACGACTGCTGGGTAACAGGGGTTGACTAGTCTTCACTCTGTCTTCAGGCCACATGATTCTGTTTGCAAGCGTCTCTGGGGAGTGGGACCTGAGCAGCACCCCCAAGGGTCTCTCTGCATCTCCCCCACACCATTCCCCCTCCCTGGAACAGTGCTGCCCTCGCCCACATCCTCCTCCTCTCAGCTCAGCCCTCCTGTTGGCCAGTCCTCGTCTTCACCACCAGCTCTGTTGGCACGCTCTCCTGGGCTGCCCCGGCCTTGAGTCCAGCTGGTATGGATGCAGCGCCCTTCGTCCAGGCACTCACTGACCCAGGCTTTCTCTGTCACTGCCACACAGCTGCTTGCGTGTCGCCCACCTCCCCAGCTGTTGTCTCCCGCGGCTGTGCACGGAGGAGGCACAGACAAGCCAGAGTGAGACTGAGCAGTGACCCGGGTGGCAGACAGGATGCTGCCGCCAGGAGGCAGTGGTCTGGCCCTGCAGGGTGCAGGGATGGAAGCCAGCGCCACGAGGACACAGGGGAGGGAAGTGCTCTCACCCTCGGTGGTGTGCTGCAGAGCTGATACATGACAAATGGGTGGACGTTTCACCTTCTCACCAGGGGAAAAATACTGAAACTAAATCAGGACTTACAGTCCAGCTCCCCTCATGATCAAGGACGTTTCTCAAAGTCCACACACATCCGGAGACCCTGTTCTGCCATCTGTGGTTGTCTTGCCTGGTAACAATCCCCTGGAACCCAGACCTACAAAGGATGAGTCAGTCAAATTAAATCATGCAGCTCACCTAATATGATACAGAAATCTCTACAGCTAAGCCTTATTGCATTCTGAATCACACAAATAAAATTAGGAGGCAGGAAAATTAAAAACTTAACCAGGAACAGCTGACCCTTAAACACAGGTTTGAACTCTATGGGTCCATTTATGTGGACGGTTTCCAGTAAACACAGCACAGTACTGTAAATGTATTTTCTCTTTTGCATGATTTTCTTGATGACATTTTCTTTTTCCTAGCTTACTTTATTGTAAGAATAAGTATATAATACATTTAACATACAAAATATGTGTTAATCACGTGTGTTGTTGGTAAGGCTTCTGGTCAATGGTAGGCTCTTAGTAGCTAAGATTTGGGGGAGTCAAAAGTTGTGCATGGATTTTTGACTGCATGGGGTTTGGTACATCTGACCTGTGTTCAAGGGCCAACTGTACATAGTGAAAGTATATACTGGGTTCATCAAGAACAGAAATAGAACCCCACACTCCTGTCTTGGGCTCCTCCAGCCACAAAATCTTGAAAGAAAACATATTTTCAATTGTTCTTTTATAATTTCAGCTATTCTTCTATACACATAAATCTATATCAATATAATAGAATTCCAATTTGACTGCGATTAAGAAACTAAAGCAGATAGATTAATGATTCAAATGTTTGCAAAACTTAAAAAATCTCTAAGAATACACAGAGAGCTATTTTTAAAATTTGAGTTGAGAAGGGCCTTTTGAAATAGAATACTAAAAGGCAGAAACCTCAAAGAAGAAAAAAATTTAGCTCTAAAAATAGTCTTAACTATGCAGCAAAAGACACAATCAACAGGCTACAAGACAAAGAGTCTAGGAAACATATTTGGAATCACATACAGAAAAGAATTATTATTTTACAAATCAATAATCAAAAGATGATCTCCCCAGTAGGAAAATGGCAAATATATACTGAGTTTTCACAAAGAAACAGTAGCAAAAAAGACTGTAAAAAAGGTACTTAAACTCCCTCACTCATAATAAAAAAACGGAGATCACTAAAAGAAGATGCTTCTCATTTTTTGGTTGCCCTGTGTTGGTGAATGCACAGACACACCTATTTTGTAAGGGTATAAATTGGTACAAACATTTTCAGGGCATTAGTACAATATGCATAAAAAATTGGGATGTGCATTTTTATTTTTCTGGGTTTTTTTGTTATTTAATGATGTTTATTTTATTTTATTTTATTTTTTGTTGAAGTATAGTTGACATACAATCTTATATCGGTTTCACAGATACAACACAGTGATTCCACAGTTACCCATATTATTAAATTCTCATCACCAATACTGCAGTTACCATCTGTCAACAGAGGAAGATGTTCCGAATGATTGGCTATATTCTCCACGCTGTACTATCCCCACGGCCAGCTTATATTACGATTGAGAATTTTTGTGCCCCTTTATCCCCCTCACTTTATCCCATCCCCCCACCCCAACCCTTCCCCCATGGTAACCACCAGTTACTTCTCAGTGTCTATGCATTTTTAGATGTAACCATTCTACTTAAGACCTTACATGGAAATAATGAGACAGGTAAGTATAACACTAAGTACTATCCTGTTTTCTGCAGCAATGTTTATAATATTAAGATACTGGAAACAAGAAAGTATTTATCCTTAGGGGCTGGTTAAACTAATTTATTTACATAGGAACAGTGGAATATCACATAACTATTTATAAAGATGTGATAATTTTATGTAAATTAACATAAAAAGATACATGCAATCTTTTATAGTTTTTAAAAGGCTTAAAACAGAATATTTTGTATTTCCCATTGATGTCAATATATGGTTACATGTATTTAAGTGTCTGAAGGTTATATACAGTAAAATGATAAAACTTATATTTTGGGGCTAAAAGAAGAACTGTCATTTTTTATTTCTTATAAGTCAATAATACATACATTTTTTTGCAATTTTGTACTACCTTCATAGTCAGCAAAGGCTTGAAGATATTTCCGTTGTGTGAAAGAGAAAAAAAGTGAGGTATTTCTGTTCACCTAAGAAATACATCTGTCATTCTTCAATGTATATGAACATGATTTCCCAATCATGTTTATTTGTAACAACATTATCTACAGTTTTGCCATAATTATTAAAATATGCTTTTTCAGGGTATATTATGCTATGTATAAATATGTCCTTTTAATTTCTCACCAATTTTGTGGGACTTCAATGATTTCTTAAAAAGTCATTATTATCCAGGCCAATGTTCTAACTGCTCAGGAGGTCACACAGCGGGAGAAGCTACACATCGTTTTTTTGAACTAAACTCAGGCGTCACCTGCTCACTCAAGCCATATGATTGTGCTGATTTAGCAAATACTCAACACAATACAGAAGGAAGCTTCATCTGTTCTTCTTCAAGGTGCTCACCTTGCCAATAGCTGGCGTGACTCCTTCAGGCTATTGACCCAGATCTATCTCCCGTCCGAGCTCATAGGGCTTCTCAGTACTCTGCCGTTCATCTTTCGTCAGAAAGGGATCCTGACAAATTCCCAAGAACACTGTAATTGACCATAGTTCGAAAATGGATATTTAAATGTTAACTTTCCAAAAATTTTTGAAATAACAATCTCTAATAGTTATATAAACAATATCTTTGGTATTGGATACATTAAAATGTTCCTACCTAGTAAGTATGGTTACAAATATAAGAACTGTCTATGTCTATTGATTTTTAGTGTTGCAAATTGTGGACTCAAGTGATATTAATTTAGCAATGTAATCGGTTGCCTTTCATTAAAATCTCTAATTTTCTTCACTAGAGAAGTTACGTAAGTCTAATATTGAAGCTAGTTTGGCAAATATATAGTGCTACAAAAAGTCTTGGTAAGCCGACTAATTTTATGGGGAACCAAGTTATTCTTCCACAAAATGAAGCACTATAGTTGGGAAATTCTTAAAGTCACTGTGCCTCTTAAAAGCCAAGTCTTAAAATGATTCAAGGGAAAAAACAGTCTCTGATTCCATATTGTTTTTTCCACAAACATGTGTTGATTCAATAACAAATCTGTTTCCCTTGCTAAATTTTGTGCTATTATATTTATATTAAAATATTTTTCTTCATACATTCTTGTTAAATAATATAGTTGGGTAAGAAAGATATAGTTGTTAATTTATAACAAGCCAGTCTTAAAAAGAAAGACTCTGTCTATAAACCTCTAGCATCATTAAATCATGTAGGAGTTATAAAACAAAGTGGAATTTTCTATCATTACATTAAGATAATAGAAATAAAAATTATTTTATAAGATTTAAAATCTCATCTGCAGTAAGACAAACATTTCATTGTGAATGAACTTTTAGTAACATTCAGGCTACTAGAAGTTATTATGGAGATGACTTTTCTTTTTATATATTATAAATGTATTAAATGACAGATAATGTTATGCCCCAACATGGAGAAAAGATTTATCAACTTAAGAATCATTGCATTAATTCAATAACTATATTATTGTTTGTCTAGGATTTCTGTGGCCAAGTCTTAAGCCTTGACAGGGTCATCTGTGGAAAACATTGTTCCTTCTGTCTATAAGCCAGTTCTCTTTTCACTGAGCACTGAATTTTTTAAAGTGTTACTGAATTCCTTCATTACTTGGAGACATTTCTGTATCACTGAATAATATGAAACTTGCTTATAATGTATTATCCTTTAATAAAATATAACAGTTTTCATTAAATGTTATATAAAATTTTATTCCTCAAAAACACAACAGTGCTGGAAATTCTTTTTGCTACACTAATTGTAATATATAGTTTTAGAAATACTTAGAAAATATGAATTTAAACATTTTATGTTTGATCATCAAAAGAAATTTACCAAAATAGCGATATAATGTGTTCCATCATTTTTCAACTCCTTAGTGTTCTGGGCAGACCAGCAAAGTTAACTTCCTCATATGTGAAGCCCATCCACTGTCCCTGTCGGCAGTATCACCGGGCTGAGAATCCTGTACAAAGGAGCTATGGAGACACAGCCTTGAAACGTTAGAAAACAAATATGGTCCAAGAACTGTAAGTAGCTAATAAGTGACTGTATATAATCAGAAGTTTAAATATTGGTGTGAGTTTCAGGTTACCCAGTACGTAAAGAGAATGAAAATGATTGTTCATTGGAAACTGAGAAAATTATACACAAATTGGTGCCAAGTCCATGCATGGCCTATAATATGTGTCTGTGTAAATATGTAACACTACAGTATGATCATTGCACCGTCTAACTTCCTTGACCCTCTCTATTCCCGCTAAATTGCCTGGAGTACACTTACATGAGGAATATCATGCCATCTTGAACCATTCTTTTCAACGCATCTGTGTTACTATAGCCCCACCGAGAAAGCTGAAATTCTGGAGACCAGTACAGAGGCACAGAGGGATGTCCGACAGCTTGTGAAAAAAAAAAGCATTAAATCCAAAAATGTTAAGTGTTCACAAGCGTGGGTCTTCAGGACTGGATGACACAATGTGTTGGTCCGCAAGCAGCTTAAACTTCCCATGTTGTGTTGAGCATCTAACAGCGACCTAAGGAACAATGATGAAAACCTCCTCTAAGAGTCTAACTCAAGCTGCGAATTCCTTCCTAAAGCATATCCTGCAAAGGCAGTTCTTTCATTTTATGAGTGGGGGACTGTGCTCCCCAACGTCCTTTCCTCCCCCCAGCATACTCCATTCCAGGAGGAAGTATGTACGTGTAAAGGCCCCCAAACCAAGAGACTTGAGGGCATTATCTCCGTTCTGCCTCTTAATATCTGTGACATTAAGAAATTACCTAACTTTTTATAGCCAGAGTTTCTACATTTTTAAAATGGGGTAAATAGTAATGTCCATTTCATTCATTTGCAAGTATTTATTAGGAACCCACTGCCTGTTTTGGACCCAAGGTCTCTGCCTCTGAAAGCTGAAATTCTAATAGAAGGAAACACAATAAACATGTGAACAAAGTAGCATAATTTTAAAACCTAGAGTGTGTGGGGGTGGGAGTCCAAGGCATGGCTAGGGAAACGCTGTGCAGGGACACGTGAGTAAGTCAGCCAGGTAGAGGGCAGCAGGCTCGGCAGGCGGAGGGGCCGGAGGCCGCCGGGGCTTAAAGTGCCAGGGAGAGGAAGATGGTGCGGCTGCAAACAGCGAGCCCGAGAGAGGGGCATGCAGGCCCGGGGGCGGGCAGAGGGCCACGGGGGGCCCTGACAGAGACCCGGAAACCTTTTCGTTGTCTTTTTTCCAATGTTGTATTATGGAAATCATCAAACATGTATAAAAGTAGAGACTGCAGTATGATAAACCTCCAGACTACAGAACAATAAACTAATCAAAATCAACAATCACCATCTGCCACACACCTTTATCTTTTCTGTTTTTCTTCTTTTCTTTCTTTTTTTAGGGGGAGGGGGGTGTTAAGCAAAATTTTAAACAAAATTAATCACAGTCCTTTCATAGCCACAAGTACTCTTCCAGATTTCCCTAATTCTCTCAAAAATGTCTTTTTTTACAGTTGATTTGTTTGAAAGAAGATGGATTATATTGAAATTGTAATTGAAACCATTCAAGTGACTAATGTGCTCTGATTTACTTTTTTAACAAAGCCATGGTGGCAATTCTGAAAAATAAATCGCAGGCAAGCAAAGGTGGTCACTGTGAGACCCAGGGGTCTGGTGACATCTCTAATAGTTATATAAACAATATCTTTGGTATTGGATACATTAAAATGTTCCTACCTAGTAAGTATGGTTACAAATATAAGAACTGTCTATGTCTATTGATTTTTAGTGTTGCGAATTGTGGACTCAAGTGATATTAATTTAGCAATGTAATCGGTTGCCTTTCATTAAAATCTCTAATTTTCTTCACTAGAGAAGTTACGTAAGTCTAATATTGAAGCTAGTTTGGCAAATATATAGTGCTACAAAAAGTCTTGGTAAGCCGACTAATTTTATGGGGAACCAAGTTATTCTTCCACAAAATGAAGCACTATAGTTGGGAAATTCTTAAAGTCACTGTGCCTCTTAAAAGCCAAGTCTTAAAATGATTCAAGGGAAAAAAAAGTCTCTGATTCCATATTGTTTTTTCCACAAACATGTGTTGATTCAATAACAAATCTGTTTCCCTTGCTAAATTTTGTGCTATTATATTTATATTAAAATATTTTTCTTCATACATTCTTGTTAAATAATATAGTTGGGTAAGAAAGATATAGTTGTTAATTTATAACAAGCCAGTCTTAAAAAGAAAGACTCTGTCTATAAACCTCTAGCATCATTAAATCATGTAGGAGTTATAAAACAAAGTGGAATTTTCTATCATTACATTAAGATAATAGAAATAAAAATTATTTTATAAGATTTAAAATCTCATCTGCAGTAAGACAAACATTTCATTGTGAATGAACTTTTAGTAACATTCAGGCTACTAGAAGTTATTATGGAGATGACTTTTCTTTTTATATATTATAAATGTATTAAATGACAGATAATGTTATGCCCCAACATGGAGAAAAGATTTATCAACTTAAGAATCATTGCATTAATTCAATAACTATATTATTGTTTGTCTAGGATTTCTGTGGCCAAGTCTTAAGCCTTAACAGGGTCATCTGTGGAAAACATTGTTCCTTCTGTCTATAAGCCAGTTCTCTTTTCACTGAGCACTGAATTTTTTAAAGTGTTACTGAATTCCTTCATTACTTGGAGACATTTCTGTATCACTGAATAATATGAAACTTGCTTATAATGTATTATCCTTTAATAAAATATAACAGTTTTCATTAAATGTTATATAAAATTTTATTCCTCAAAAACACAACAGTGCTGGAAATTCTTTTTGCTACACTAATTGTAATATATAGTTTTAGAAATACTTAGAAAATATGAATTTAAACATTTTATGTTTGATCATCAAAAGAAATTTACCAAAATAGCGATATAATGTGTTCCATCATTTTTCAACTCCTTAGTGTTCTGGGCAGACCAGCAAAGTTAACTTCCTCATATGTGAAGCCCATCCACTGTCCCTGTCGGCAGTATCACCGGGCTGAGAATCCTGTACAAAGGAGCTATGGAGACACAGCCTTGAAACGTTAGAAAACAAATATGGTCCAAGAACTGTAAGTAGCTAATAAGTGACTGTATATAATCAGAAGTTTAAATATTGGTGTGAGTTTCAGGTTACCCAGTACGTAAAGAGAATGAAAATGATCGTTCATTGGAAACTGAGAAAATTATACACAAATTGGTGCCAAGTCCATGCATGGCCTATAATATGTGTCTGTGTAAATATGTACACTACAGTATGATCATTGCACCGTCTAACTTCCTTGACCCTCTCTATTCCCGCTAAATTGCCTGGAGTACACTTACATGAGGAATATCATGCCATCTTAAACCATTCTTTTCAACGCATCTGTGTTACTATAGCCCCACCGAGAAAGCTGAAATTCTGGAGACCAGTACAGAGGCACAGAGGGATGTCCGACAGCTTGTGAAAAAAAAAAGCATTAAATCCAAAAATGTTAAGTGTTCACAAGCGTGGGTCTTCAGGACTGGATGACATAATGTGTTGGTCGGCAAGCAGCTTAAACTTCCCATGTTGTGTTGAGCATCTAACAGCGACCCAAGGAACAATGATGAAAACCTCCTCTGAGAGTCTAACTCAAGCCGCGAATTCCTTCCTAAAGCATATCCTGCAAAGGCAGTTCTTTCATTTTATGAGTGGGGGACTGTGCTCCCCAACGTCCTTTCCTCCCCCCAGCATACTCCATTCCAGGAGGAAGTATGTACGTGTAAAGGCCCCCAAACCAAGAGACTTGAGGGCATTATCTCCGTTCTGCCTCTTAATATCTGTGACATTAAGAAATTACCTAACTTTTTATAGCCAGAGTTTCTACATTTTTAAAATGGGGTAAATAGTAATGTCCATTTCATTCATTTGCAAGTATTTATTAGGAACCCACTGCCTGTTTTGGACCCAAGGTCTCTGCCTCTGAAAGCTGAAATTCTAATAGAAGGAAACACAATAAACATGTGAACAAAGTAGCATAATTTTAAAACCTAGAGTGTGTGGGGGTGGGAGTCCAAGGCATGGCTAGGGAAACGCTGTGCAGGGACACGTGAGTAAGTCAGCCAGGTAGAGGGCAGCAGGCTCGGCAGGCGGAGGGGCCGGAGGCCGCCGGGGCTTAAAGTGCCAGGGAGAGGAAGATGGTGCGGCTGCAAACAGCGAGCCCGAGAGAGGGGCATGCAGGCCCGGGGGCGGGCAGAGGGCCACGGGGGGCCCTGACAGAGACCCGGAAACCTTTTCGTTGTCTTTTTTCCAATGTTGTATTATGGAAATCATCAAACATGTATAAAAGTAGAGACTGCAGTATGATAAACCTCCAGACTACAGAACAATAAACTAATCAAAATCAACAATCACCATCTGCCACACACCTTTATCTTTTCTGTTTTTCTTCTTTTCTTTCTTTTTTTAGGGGGAGGGGGGTGTTAAGCAAAATTTTAAACAAAATTAATCACAGTCCTTTCATAGCCACAAGTACTCATCCAGATTTCCCTAATTCTCTCAAAAATGTCTTTTTTTACAGTTGATTTGTTTGAAAGAAGATGGATTATATTGAAATTGTAATTGAAACCATTCAAGTGACTAATGTGCTCTGATTTACTTTTTTAACAAAGCCATGGTGGCAATTCTGAAAAATAAATCGCAGGCAAGCAAAGGTGGTCACTGTGAGACCCAGGGGTCTGGTGACATGTCCCAGCAGAGACGACAGTGGCTTGAGCCAAGGGGTCACACTGGTGGCACTGACAGAGGAAGACTGAGAATATTCCGGAGACAATGCAGAACTTTCCAATGCATTTCACTTACTAGGATGAAGAAAAGAAAGGACAGAGGATGGCATGCAGTTCCGGAGTTGAAGGGCAGGAACAGCGAATCCA